TGTATCTTGATGTGGAAAGACAGAAGGGCTTAGCACAGTCTCCTGGAATTCTCTTGCTACTGTCAGTTCCTTTGATGCCATGAGAATCTCCAGGGCAACCCTTTACAATTTCCATTAAGAGATTTCTCTCTGGGGAACCACATACTGCTGGCAGACACTCTATGTAGGACTTCTTAGTCCTATGGGGGAGTCTTTGAGACGGCATCACTAACAGGAAGGGTAGGAAATTACAATATTGCCAACCTGCATGCTTTTTACAAAGCAATGGATTAGTGCTAGTGTCCGCTGTTTCTAGTTTACACAAGCATTTTTTTTTTAAAAAAGTTTCTAAGGTTCTTTGTTTCTGTTACTTATCATGCCGGACTGTAGTTAGTCATTGGCAAAGAGGGATTCATTTGAAAACTGGTTCCCTGAAGTGTTCAAGTGATAATAAAGACAGCATTGTGAGCAAAGGGTTTCAAAATCTTTTAGAACCTCTTCTGTAGATGTGACCTGCTTTGTGGGAGTGGTTTGCCAGCCATGTGATGGGGTGGGAGTGACTTGCTGGCCATGTGACTGGGTGGGAGTGGCTTGCCAGCCATGTGACTGGGTGAGCGTGGCCAACTTGTAAAATGTGGTGAAATTCACTTAACAACGCTCTTGCTTAGCAACAAAATGTTGGCTCAGAAACTCTGACATTTGAAGCACGCAAGTCTTAAAGCTGTCAAGTTACAAGACCTTTGCACCCCCTAACCCTTTAGAAAAAAAACCCCAGGGGTGTTACTTGTGGACTTCAACTCCCAGAATTGGACTTCAACTCCCAGAATTTCTTCTCCAGTCATGTTGGCTCAGAAACTCTGGCATTTGAAGCACGCAAGTCTTAAAGCTGTTAAGTTACAAGACCCTTGCACCCTTAACCCTTTAGAAAAAAAACCCAGGGGTGTTCAAACTTTACAGCTTTAAGACTTGTGGACTTCAATTCCCAGAATTCCTCCTCCTGCTCTTCATCTTGATGATGTGCAGACAGGAGGGGGAGGGAGCTGGAACCGGTTATAAATGGCACTGTAGATTTGTGAAACCTCTTCTATAGAAGAGGTTAGAATTGGCAGGAACCACCCCTGATTGTGAGGACTAAAACACAGGAACCTGACAATACGAGTAAATCCTCAGAGCTGTTACAAGTGTTAAGTCCGCCTTGAGTTAAATGTAACTGTGATCTCACACAAGCAACACAAAACCAAATGTACAAATAGGAAATGCCATGATGAAGATCCCAAACTGCAGTTTCATTGGGCTGGAGGGCATTTGGCCCCAATCTTCTGGGTTCTCTTATTATATGGCAAGTGGTGCATAAAGTAAATCAATGAGCAAATCCATGCTTGGAAGGAGGGTTGCGTTTCTGTTTTAGTTTTTTAGTTTTTACAAAATTTAGTTTTAAGAAAACCCTTAAAAATAGAGGGGATAGGAAGATGTAACCAAAGACAGTCACAAGCAGAGGTGGGCTGCTACAGGTTTGCCTGGGTTCGGGAGAACCCGTAGCTAACATTATGGGCAGTTCGGACAACCTCCAAATCCCACCCCTGGCTGGCCCCACCCATCTCACCCCTCTCACCCTGCCCTTCCCAGGAGTCTCAACGCGGCCCATTTTGGATGCAACGTAAGTGCAGGGCCTGTGTAGAAGCTCAGAGGGGGAAAACGGGCCTCCTGGAAGTTCCAGAAGGCTGGAAACGGGCTCGTTTCTGGCCTCCGGAGCCTGGGGGAGGCAGTTTTCACCCTCCTAGAGACTCGAGGAAAGCCTCTGGAGCCTGGGGAAGGCAAAAATGGCTCCCTCGCCATGGTTCAAGAGGCTGACTAGGCCATGTCCACCCTGGCCACGGCCACCCAGCAACCGGTCAGAGAAATTTTTGAAGCCCACCCCTGGCCACAAGGCACTAATAATCATTATTTCATTTACTTAAAAAGGCGTCATGTTCCAAACAAATCCCATGTTCTTCAAGCCAAAAAACATTGGGAAGGAATATTGGTTTAATTGGCTGGTTCCTGCATTTTCTGAACATCCATTTAGTGGTCCACTTTAGCAGAAAGCGTGAGAAGGGCTATTT